AGACTAAATGCTTTTAATACTCTGTTCGATATTAGGTTATACGCTCCAATCAAAAAACAAGGCGGAAGCTCACTGCAACGTAGAGTCCACTAGAAATAAGCGATGTTCAGACTTCACTCGAAGAACAAACAAGTACGGAGACCGAGATCGATGATCGATGACCACCACATCTTGTACGTGCACCGTCTGTGGTTTTTTGTCTTCAATCTATTTATTTCTTGACCCTTGAGTAGCACCGCTTTCGTACAAACACACAGCTTAAAATCGTTGAGGTGAAGCCTTGGGAAGCGAATTTGCTTTCAAGTAGGCGCAAATGCATGTAAAGCACCGGGTAAGCGGCCTCAACCTTCAAAGGGGTTGTAAAGTTCGCTGGAGAGCTACACTTCCAGTTGTTGATTTGACGTGCTTTGGAGGTGTCGTATGCGAGATATCGCGTGCGATGTAGGTATGTCATACACGGTATGCTTGTTTCTACATGTTCATTCCTTATGCTACTGCCAAATTATTCCAAAAACAATCCGAGGGTGCGTTATGCTGCTGAGCGTCTTTTAAGGTCTGCGGAGAGTGTATGTCGCTTGGAAATCTTATAAATCGTTGTTACGGCCTCTATGTTGTTATTTTCATCTTGGGAACGTCTAATAGTAACGCTGATGTTACCACCTGCCAAAAAGGCTCGTGGAGAGTGAGATTGATAGCGCCCTGGGATGGAAATGAAAAGCCGGAGAGAAGCAATTGGATGCCTTGAATAGGAAGGACCGGCAAAGCGGCAGAAGCCAGTCATTTTTGGATAAGGCATCTGATGCGCATACGTCATCCCTTGCCGCGCTTTCTTTTCCTTCTAATTTACATTCATGGGGTACGCAAGTGTAAGCCCCTCCTGTCTATAACAACAGCTTGGAGATTGCGCACAGAACTATCTACGATCATGCTTAGCATCTCCGCTATCCACGTCGTCGACGAACCAGGCGAGGAGAAGACAGTATGAGGTGGGCGCCCAGTGCGTTGGACCTTCGATAAGCCTGTGTAGTTCCAGAACCCGTGGCCGATCTGGAGGAAGAATGGGGGGAAGAATGGGCTAAGTGTGGTGCGTATCTCCAGATTTTCATGAGGCCTCGAAACTGGCGCTGATTGCTGGGGAAGCTTGCATATATGACTCGAAATAGACCCGACCTGCGTAAAGTCGGGATTCTTGTCACGACACCGACGTGGGGTGGAGAGGATGGACACAGGGGTGAGGTGAAAGGGATGTGGTTGGGCTACGCGTTTTTCATCATCGAGTTTCCATACGTCGCTTCGCTAGGGAGAGGTGCAAGGGTGCTGTTCGACTCAGTGTTCAGTGATAGGTGTTAGCCGAGCCAGTATTTCCGTCCGGAGAGGTATACCGAGCCGCCGTGTAAGATCGAAGATATACCAGAGGTGGACGCTATTGTCATCTCGGTGAGTGCCCCATTCTTGGATTCAAGCCTTCGCTAATGCTGTTGCTAGCATAACCATTATGACCAGTACGCGTCGTTCTCCACCCCATTCCAATCGCCTACCCACCTTTCCTAGTCTAGACACCTACACCATAATCACGCTCTTCAAACGAGCCGGCCAGCCCCATATCTTCACTCCTCTAGGCAGCGAAAAGTACTTCAACTCAATTGGCATACCGAAGGCCACACGCACACTCTCGACTGGTAGGACGCACGAGCGTAGAGATAGCCAGCATGTCGTCCTTCAAGCTTACCTGTATACCCGCAGAGCATTTCACCTGTCGGAGACTGCTCGATTAAGCCATGACTCTGTGGGCGAGCTGGGCAGTGAAAGGTGCGGGTAAGACGGTGTATTTCGATGGTGATACGGGGTATCGATCCGTTAAGGATGGGGAGGATGAGGATAAGTGGCCGACGTGTCCTGTGTTCAAGGAAATTGGAGAGTCGCAATTCAAATTCTCATCCTACTGGCAAGATGTCGCTGCCGGTGCTATTGTGAGTTCCAATTTCAGATGCTTTCGCCGTGCATTTGAACAATTTCTGATGCGTCTTCAGCTCAAAATTTCCGACTTTACAAGCCTGTGGAGGCAAAGTCACACATAGGTTAGTGATTTCTCGTGTCATACAAGTTTGGTCTGACTTTTCCTTGTTATTTAGGCTTCCTGATCCACTTTAAGCTTGATCTTTGGTAAGTCGGTGTTCACTCCATTGTTTGGTCTGTCCTCGCTCATACTTTCTTGCGAAGGGCATAAAATCCTTTCAGATTCTACCTCTGAATCTTACGGAGCTAATCTCTCCCAAACTTAGGTAAGTCTTCTACCTTTTTTCCGCAGTCTCCGAGGCTAACCCCCGGTTAAAGACCTAGATCAATGCCTACAATATTGTCGTGCTTATTCAAAGAATCCAGACTGATTTGAAACATAGCGACGTGTGTATACTGGGAATTATCATGAAATATCACGTTTCCGAGGAGCTATGGATTTTGCTGCATTGGGCATCGACATCACTTTTCCTGAGAACGGCGGTATCAGCAGTTCAGGGAAGGTTGGCGAAGCAAGTTCTAGGAGTGGGATGATGCGAACAAGCGATGATAAAAGAGTGCCAGTTAGCAAAATGAGCATCTGCGACCAATCTGCGACAAGACCCTGGTCAGTATTTTTAATGACCCTGAAGGAGGAGTTCAGAGAGCGATAGGAGGACCAGGTTCAGTTGGTGGGTGATGAATACGTAATGTTCGATGCTCGACTAACGGGTTTCTCAGAGACTGAAAACTGAACGTAAATTGCGATATACTTTCAGTTACGGAATCTCCGTGGCTAATGTTCTTGTTAGCATAATCACTACCACTACTTAGCACGTGTCTTTCTCCAGAAATGTGTCGCTTGCTGATCTTATCTGGTCTATAAAGGTGTGCGCCAAGCACCCTCTTCAAAAAGACTCAGCTGTTCCATATCTTCGGTCCCCTGAACGAAAAGTACGGGCATTTGCATATGTCCCTATGCATATACTCTAGTACTGGATGGGCGTACAACGGGTGGAGATACCCCTATCCCACAGTCACGGGATCCCACAGCATCTCGCAGGTTTACCACGCACAATCAACACTGACAACCACGCAGCCACACAGGCTCCCACACTAAATTCTTCTTTCCCCAACGACGCCCTATTTCTCATATCCAGCAATGTCTCCATCCACTCCCTTGATTCCAGCACAAGGCCCTCAGGCTGTGGTATTTCGCGCCGCAAAAGAAGTGACTTGCATCCTTAGAGACGCGGGATACACATTTGCAATCATGGGGAGTTTGGCTTGCTATCTCTACGGAAATGAACGCCTACCAAATGTAAGATCCGTCGCGCTCATCTTATATCTCGGTTGTGATACTGACGAAGCGGTAGGACGTCGACATTTTGATTTCATCGCGTACCTGCGATCTGGAGCCACTCAAGAAATTTCTCGTCACCCAGAACCCGGATCATTTCTATCTCGTGGATGCCAAATCACCTCGAGCTAAGTTCAAGGTATTGTGGTACCACGATCATGGTAGAGATGGAAAACTGGAGAGAACAAAGGTCGATATCATGAAACCGGGAGTTATGCAGCTGCCGATGATATTTTCTGAGGCTATCGTCGATAAGCAGGGGCTTCCGGTTGTTCCCATGTCGATCCTGCTGCTGCACAAACTCAGGGGTTGGGAGGATAATATGAAGTCTCCGAAGCCGCATCTTCGGAGGAAGCATGATGCGAATGTGGGAGATATAGGATCGTTGCTGAGGATCGTTATTGAGGATATGGGCAAGCAGGAAAAGAGAAACTCATTGCATTGGAAACGGTTTGCGCTGGAGAAGTTTAGTAAAGGATTCCAGGATGGGACGAGGCGTCGGGTGAACTTGTTCAGTGAGAGAAATCCAGAGTATGGGGATATGTGGAAGGAGCTCGGCTGGTAGAGATGTTGAACGGACTCTTTCTGATGTATGATATTTCCTGCTCGCTCAGTTCTTATTTAATTTCTGAAACTGATACTCAAATGCATTCTACTTGTGGCAGGATATTTCACTTCTGGGATGTACCGAGAATCGAATTTTGGTTAATCGTTAAGGAAAGAAAGCAAAGAATCTAGGTGCAGGTAAGGAGACGGTGAAATATGATATGTACAGCACCGGGTGAGCTGTATTGACCTTCATTCATTGCCGAGGTCACTACTGAGCTGTGCTGCTATCCGTCAGTTTGGCGCGCCTTTGACGCGTCGTATGCAAGATATGAAGCTTTTGTTCTACTTCTTCAATATTCATGTCCTGCTTTATCACGACATGACCATTCGGAGTATTTATCGTGCATGGTATGTTTCTGAATAACCGTTACTTTGAATTTGATGCGTGCTACGAAATCCAATACGAATAGTTGGTTCGTACGAGAATAACATACAGCCTGCTCATCGTTAGACTACAAATGTATCGGATATATGGGATAAATGGGTGGGAAGAGGAGACGTGCGTTTTCTAGTAGTTAGTGGTTCGGAATCCATCCATATTTAAGCTGCACAGGAGCCCTTTGCGTTGTTCACAAAATCCTGCGACTGCACTCTCGCACCCAAGAAAAAGAATAGGATGATTGATAGTCAGTAATTCGGATAGAGGGAATCGAACCCTGTAGTTAACGCTACTCCCGAATGGGTTTTGGTAACATTAAATAATCGCCCTGGCGTGTATCCTGAAGAAGCAACAAATGATCAGCAGCCGAAATGCCCGACCGTTATCCAGAAGGAAGTCGAGAAGGGACAATAGTGGACGGAATGGAAAACTCAACCAGATGTGTAAATAGTCGTTGGACTGCTATCCATGCGCCAGCTTAGTTATGTTATTATGATGCATTGAGAAGGCCCTGAAAATCGAAGCTGACAGACTTGTCATCAATGTTAGGAGAAGGGATGCAGAACTGGGCGCACGAAGAAGGGCCGGTATCGCGGCAATTTATTTTTGGATACATTATCCGATTGTGTACGTAATATTTACCCGCGCTCTTGCGCATTCCTTCCATCCTTGTGTTACGGCTCACGCTTGCGTGCCGCTTCTTCCCACAATAACAGCTCGACGAACGAGCATGGCTTTATCTACGGTGACCGACATCCCCGTTGTCGTCGACGAAGCAGGCGAAAAAAAGCATTCGGGATTCCTCTTCGGCCACGCGTGTTTCCTCATCAAGCTTCCGTTTATCGCCACGCCAGAGAGAATGTCATTCATCCTGTTCTGAGTGATAGGTTCTCGTTCAGCCAGTACTTCGGCTCGGAAAGGTATAGGAAGCTCTATGACTGAGGATGCATCAGAAGTGGATTCATTCGTTATCTCGGTGAGTTTTCGTTTTCGCATTCGAGGCAAGGCTAAAACCATCTGCATTATGTCCAGTTTGCGTCTTCCTCCTCAACCCTTCGCCTTGCCTAGTCTAGCATTAAGCACGCTCTTAAAATGGGCTCACGCACTACACATCTTCGCGTCACTGCGCAACGACATGCACTTTCACTCGATCGGGTTCCCAACGCGTGCGGATATAGTCAGTGGATGGGTTGCACGACGCGTGGAGATCACAGGGGCATCCATCTTTCAGGATAATTTGCATTCTGCCTAGTATTCATCCGCTCCGGGCCAGTTCCAACGAGAAACGCAGCTGGTCTCTTCCCCTGGTGATAACCAGGTGTCTGTTTGTTGAGGATGACGACCCCAATGATGGGTCTGATGCTTTCCACAATGTAGATTGTAACGACAGAAGAGGTTACGGAGCTGTCGAAGAGGGTTGAAGGCACCGATGTAGGTGGAGCAGGAAAGCCACGGCAAGGCAACGCTGTTTTTTTACGTGTGTTTCCTCTCGAGTACACTGTGAAGAGACGCATATTTTGTTCGAACGTTCAGGCACTTGTGGCCTAGCCAGTCTGTCGGATATACGGATACTGAGCAAGATTGAGGATTTATTGGAGGTGGATGCAGTCGTCATCTCAGTGAGTAGCGGTTCTTGGACTCGAAGTGGTGTTAATGCTATTTTTAGCAGAACATCACAGCTCGTACGTGTCGTTCTCCCCACGTCCGACTCACGCGCGCGCTTCAAACGGACTCGCCTGTCCCAAAACCACTTTGACTGAATGCACGAGGGACCGCGTGCGCTTCCTCTCTGCATCTCATGTACGACGCGTGACATTTCAGTGGTGCATACCTGCCATATAGGGACGACAAGAAGCAGGGATCGATGTGTATTTTTGAGGATATTGGTTAATTGGATCTGGCAGTGATACCTATTGGGTATATGGGTTGCGCGTGTTCGTAGCTCATGATGCTGATGTTTCAATCAGGGTGTAGGAACCGGCCCGTTGATGTTCCCCACCCCTTGCACGGCACTGAGGGCGGAGAAAAATGGTTGGTTGTTAATGCAAATGCATTGTGGGTAAGTCGTCTTTTTTGACGTCTTCCGTTCATGGCACTGACGTTTTCCAGGACTCGCATCCTAACGTGGATGGGAACTCCAACATTGCGCTCGCTCACCGTGAGGTGTCAATTTCAGCTGAAGTCGCGCGTATGGAGCCCCAAAATGTAGCTCACACTGAAAACATTTGTTGAATGAAGGGTGCATTCGGTGTCTTCCTATCGTAGGTAGATCATAGGGAGGGAAAACCATCGAAGAGACAACGGCGGCTTTCCGATATCGGCGGGATGAAATAGTTCCACTACAGGCTGTATATTTCGGTTGACATGAAATGCGAATGTGAAGTGGTAGTAGTCGTAGTCGTCGCACTGACAAGCGGTCCCGGGTAGATGACATCACGAACTGCAGACGTACATGACAAAAATCAACCACTCGCAACAATATATGGTTACCTCTCTCGTTTCGACTGAGGAAATCAAACCTCAGGCTTCTACCTTTGTACAGTAGCCTAGAGCGCAAAGCGAAGGGGGAGTGCATGAAAAAAGTCAAGCTACAGTTGGGATTAATTTGGATATGGGGAATTGAACCCCCAGCGACAAGTAAGGCTATAGCGAGTACGGAATATACATGGAATGAAAGCGGGGTTGTATATGCCAAAGTGTCGTCGAAGGGAAGAAGAAAACAACGTGGTTGGGATCTCACCACTGTGAGAAAAGACAAATTCTGTGGTATTGTGAAAAGCAATGTATCTAGTTAGTAAAGGAGACGTTGACTGTGAACTGGTGGAAGAAAAGATGGTGTCAGACATTTATTTCTGGGCGATGGCAGTCGGTAGACCGTATCCGAATACGTACGGCCCGTATCTAGGGGATCTCGGAGGGTGTAATGCGAGACCGAAATGGGGCAACGGATAGGAAAGACGTTGATCATCGATTCCTTGGGGGAAATTGGCAGTTGTTTTTGACTGTGTGGATTGTCTCGCGTCGCATGGAGGTTACTCCTTTTTCCCTCTACGTGAGTTAAATTTAAACGATAGTACCTTGGCTGGAGAATCTCATGCCTGAATATTGAATGGTCCGAGTATATTATTGACCTGTATCGCGTCACCCCAGCATCACAGCAGCAGATAAGCATTCATCTCATATTCAGACTCGCTGGCAGGGTAAGAAAGTATGGGCCTAGTGAAAGGGGACGGACAATGTCTCTAGCGGTATATAAGTAGACGGATGAGATATAGGTAGCCGTAGCCAGACACGAATCAGAATGGCCCGGAGATGTCCTTTGGCGAGCGTGCACAGTTACGTCCAGCCGTCGACTGTATGGGAAAATATTCCGTGGCAGGTATCCTACGGCGGCGGCATAGAAATATCTTGAACCTTCCCAGATGGTGGTTATCTCACGAGCTAGTACATTTTGATGGCCAGTAGAATTTCGCCAGTCAATATAGCATACGACGGTTCAATTCCCTTATATGATACATAAAAGCGTCATGATATTTTCATGGATGTAAACCGTATGCTTCCTGCTTTATGATCACCTGGTAACTCTAATTTCGATGCCTTCGTGTCTCTTGAACGTAAAAGCTAACTTTACACGTTTGTACGTACATTCATATTTAAATTCCGTGGATATGGCCTACTCGCAGTCGCCTTACTAGTTGGGGTTCGATTCCCCATATTGGCATATCCACATGTAGTTCAAAAACATATGTATTCTTGATTTTTTCAAGAACTCCTTCCTATTCTATGGGCGTAATAGTGTCCGGAAAATCGAGAGGGAGTAAATGCACACACAAGTCGGTCTTAGGAAGGATTCGCGCACAAGTTCAGGTACATCACGATCTTCTGAAATACACAAGTGTCAATGACGTGCATCTTGACATGTACCACGCTCACAAGTTGCTACTTCTCATGCACAAGTTAGATCTCTGTCCTCTGATCAACTCAAGTTGCTCCAACTTGAAACTTACCTCTGTCAAGTCATGATTTTGATCATAGTTGACGCAAGATTGATCTGCCGCTGAATTTCATCACAAGTTAGGGTCTGGTCGATCTGGCGCAAGTTTTATCCTCTTGTCGCGATGCAAACAAGTTGAGTATATTCTGTTGCTTTTGAAAAACCCCTTTTCTCATTATTTCGTTCAGGGGAATGGGTAAAGGGAGCCTGTTTTGGAACTTTCCCTTTCTTGCTGCCTTCCTCCCTGATATCATCTTCTTTGTGTCTGTATGATGTTCAAGATACCCATGGAGCGTAGGAGCAGGATCCAGCCAACACAGAAGTCAATCGTGACAATGACATTGATATGGCAAGGGAGTTGATGGGAGACTTTGATTTCGAAAGAGAGATCTGAATTAGGGAATAGAGGTCTACTGTGAGGTGGTATCTATTCTTACAGCCATCCTGGTATCATAAAATGATTTTTTAAATCACTCAGGCTCCGAATGATTTAGACTGGCTCGAAATATGCAAGGATAAACCTGTTTTTAAGTTATATCTTGTATGGATAATATAAGTCTGTATGCTTTGAGAAGGCTCCAAGCTGGGATGCTTATATCTAAAAGGATACATGGAATGTCATTTATAAATACCTGTATTCATCCTTCTTCGAGCCGTTGAGGTGTTTGGTGAACGCTGAAGTGAACGCGACTACGAGTGATCTGCCGGATGTTGCCGATTTGCCGAGAATATGGCATACCCCACATAGCCGAGAATTAGCACCCCTCCAACCTGTGCGATATCGGCCATCCCTTGGCTTACTTATGCGCACTGCACACAGCTGTTTTTACTTGTGTGATGGCCTAAATTATTCACCTGCACTTGTGCTACTTCCAAGGATCATGACTTGTGCATGTGTTCATTCCCCGGCATCTCAACCTTGTTTGAATTCGCAGTACATGGGCAACTTGTGTAAGCTATTCATTTGGCAGACTTGTGTTTGAAATAGAGAAGGATGAACTCGATTTTCCGGACACTATTACACCCATACTATTCGTGCAAATACACAGTCTATCTACTGTGCGAAGACCAAAGCCAAAGCAACAACCACTGATCGAACTGCACACTAGTAATTAGCGCGATCGTTCCCCAGAGTAGTAAGTAGAAGTATTCCCTATTGCCAACATTAGAAAGTCGCAGCCATTTCCTCTTTATCGCCGGAGATTCTCCATGAAAGGAAGAGACCCAATGTTCCCTTTCTACTTCACCGTTCAACGCGGAACTTGCAGCTATGCGACGGGAAGATATAGGGACTAGCTAGGCGACAAGCACTCGAGCACCCATCAAACAGAAATAGACGTGTTGCGTATTGATGAACACGGCAAATGGAGGGGGGAACATACATTTTCAATCCTCTTCGATAGCTCCGTAACATCTTCTGTTGTTAGGATCTGCATCCTGGAAAGCATCAAAGATGAACCACAGACTTCTCATCAATATGCGGGAAGCCGAGCGTAGGAAGTAGGGCCGGCACCGCGGCAAGACTATTTGGGGTTACATCATCTTTGCCGGTGCTCTTGCTCTTTCCTGCCATCCATGGCGTATAACTCAGGTTTGCATGCCCCTCTTTCCTGTAACAAGTCTCAATGAATAAACAAGACCTTACACACAGTGGCCTCCATCCGCATTATCAGCGAACCAGGAGAAATTACCACTGACACGCCGGTGCGGTTACTGAATCTGTAGACGAGCTTGGGGGAGAAGAAAGTTCAACTTGCTGAGTACGCCGCACGCCAATGCTCTTAATATTTTGTCTCTAATCGCTAGATAGCTAGGATCTTTCTTCTGCAATAAACGTGACCCACCCGGAGTCAAGATTCCTGTTCCGCCATGCGTCTTTTGCTATACAGCTTCCGTTCATCGCAATGCCAAAGATAATGCTATTCGGCCTGTGTTTAATGATGGGTGATCTCACAACTAGTCTTTCGGCCCAAAGAGGTACACGAAGCTGCCGAGTAGGATTGAGGATATGCGACAGGTGGACGCTGTCATTTTTTCGGTGAGTATTCATTTTTGTATTTAAGGCTAAGCTAAACCATCTGTATTATGACCAGTTTGCATCCTCCTCCTCACCACGTCGCCTTGCCTAGTCTAGCCTCAAGCACACTCTCCGAACAGACCCTCGCACTACACATCTTCGCTCCACTGCGGAATGAAAAGCACCTTCACTCAGTCAAGTTTCCCAAATCGCATGCGCATACACTTGGTTGACACGTTGCACGACGCATGGAGATTTTCGGGCGTCTTTCAGGCTGCACCATTTATCTGCTTGTGACC